TGTATATATATATATATATATATATATATATATATATATATATATATATATATATATATATATATATATATATATATATATTTTTTTTTTTTTTGTGCCTGTATTTAAATAGCATTGATTTTATTTTGTTATATTTTGGTTTTGTAGCACTCCATACCTCTTTTTTTCATTTCAATCTGTTTCATATAACTTCAAATAAATTTAATGGTTTACAATTTTTTTTTCTTAAAACGTGTTCTATGGTCATTGTCATCTCCTTAATTATAACCTGTTTAACTCAAAAGAATAATGCAGCCTAGCACTATAATATCAATTAAACAAGAAAACTGTTAACAATTTTAATTATTAAAAATTTGTAGAAGACAATATTTTTTATTATTTTTTAATAATAAAAATTTAATCGAAAATACTCAATACATTTACTTAATATAGTTATATCGGATAATATTGTAAACTATATTACGTCAATAATGGCCAGTATAATATCCCCATTATTGGCGCGATATTATTTACAATATTGGCGCAATATTTTAAACATTATCGCGTCAATATTACAATGTGAACATTTTGCCAATATTGGCCAATATTGACTTTAAGATATTGGCGCAACATTGTACAGCGAATATTGGCCAAAATTGACTTAACAATATTGGCGCAATATAAAATATTGCGCCAATATTGTTATGTAAAGCCAATATTGGCAAAATGTTCCCATTTCAATATTGGCGTGTCCAGCTTATTTTTCTTCATCGGAATCTAAAACAGTAATTGAAGTATAATAAAAAAAAAAGTTAAAACTATATTTGAACAAAAAGTCGAAAAGAGGTTCATATCGTTGTAAGTTAACTGTTATAAGATTTAAACTGTTATAAAACTTAAACTGTTAAGACTTAAAGTTATTGGTCAATTAGAAAAGGAATCTTATTGAAAAACATGAAATTAGCTTCAAATTAAAAAAAAAAACGATTTAACGAAGAATCGAATAACAACTTCAAAAAACTAGCTTAGCGCAAGTTCCAGCAGATGATGTCAAGTACTTTTTAAGAGTTTAAAAAACTCTTGAAAAAATCCAAAAATCTATCAAAGGCTTAGTTAGTGCTGCTATTGACAACTTTAAAAGACAGTATCAAAATAAAATCGCTAATCAAATTGAGCAAAAGAATATATTTTATCATGGTCACTAGTTTTTCCAATTTGAAATTAGTTTAATTTTGGATATTTCAAAGTTTCATAATCATTCATCATATGATTTATTTTATCTATTTTTTGATCACATTCATACATGTATATCCATAATGTAACATTGTATATCCACAATGTAACATATAATGTAACAATACCTGTTAAATATTTGTAAATTTTTAAGAATAAAAATGTTTGATAGTTATTTTTAAACAACGGTTTTATAGTTTTTCTATCGTGTGAAAGGGCCTAAAAATCATGTATAATTTCTGTCCTTAAAAGCAAAGTTCGACTTTTTCAACTAAAAATCTGAAAATTAAAAAAAACTTAAATTGCACAAAAAACCGGTTAGCTCGTCAATCTCGATCATGAAAAATAAAACCGAGATAAAACGATTTAAAGTGTTTTTCCTGCTATACAAAAACCGGTTAGTTTACTGAATGGTAAATGTACTTCATTTACACTACGTACATGTGGTAAATATAAACCTGCTAATACAAAAATATTTTTTACTCATTCTCTATTTGAAATTAAAGCGTTTCCTGCTTTACAAAAACCGGTTAGCTCGTCAATCCCGATCATGAAAAATAAAACCGAAATAAAACGATTTAAAGTGTTTTTCCTGCTTTACAAAAACCGGTTAGTTTACTGAATGGTAAATATACTTCATTTACACTACGTACATGTGGTAAATATAAATCTGCTAATACAAAAAGTTGAATTTTACTGCTAGAGCTTTTAAACTAGAGAAATTTTAGTTTAAATAATTTAAACTGGTTTATTTAGCTATAATTCTAAGTGTCCTAGAAAACCATGTAAGTATATGTAGTAAAATTGTAATATATTAAAAGTATGTAGTAAAATTGCAATATATTAGTAATGTGTTATTAATATATTATATGACTCTGAAAAATTATGATAATATAGTTATATTGAAAACAACTCATTTAAACTCAGTGACTCTGGAAGTATAAATTTTCGTTTTTAAACTATTAAAAGAAACATTCTATTATTTTTCACTTAGAGAATGAGTAAAAAATATTTTAATATGTATTATCTATAATTATATATAACATATATAGTTTTTAATTTTTTGAACTTTTTAATTTGGTTTACATATATATATTTTTATTTGGTATATATATATATATATACATATATATATATATATATATATATATATATATATATATATATATATATATATATATATATATATATATATATATATATATATATATATTATATATATATATATATATATATATATATATATATATATATATATATATATATATATATATATATATGTATATATATATATATATATATATATATATGTATATATATATATATATGTATATATATATATATATATATATAATATATATATATATATATATATATATATATATATATATATATATATATATATATATATATATATATATATATATATATATATATATATATATATATATATATATATATATATATATATATATATATATATATATATATATATATATATATATATATATATATATATATATATATATATTAGAGCTGTACAAGATTTAATTTTTTCAAATCTGGCCAGAGCCAAATTCGCTGGATTTCTACTGAAAAATCCAGCCGGAGCCGGATTTTGAAACAAAATTACAAGAAACGAAATCCTGTACATCCCTACTTGACATTGATAGTGGTCAACAATGTTGACCATTCTCAACACCAAGACCAAACCGTTTTCTGCTAAACTTCATTGTTATTAAAATAGAAGGACACAATTTCACATCATATATCATAACATAACAAAATTATTGATAAACAATTTAAACTTTCAATTTGAAGTGAAGTAAAGTAACTTCAGTTTCAGTTATTATTTAAAAATATCTTTGATCAGTTTCAATTTATACTTAAAAATATTGAAATATATATAGAAATATTGAGTTATAAATATTATAAATATTGAATTATAAATAGAAATATATATTAGGGTTATGTGGTAGGAGTGAACTATGATGATCATTGAGGGCCTCCCCAGCAACATTGAACAAACATTCTGATAGTGAACTTGTTGGTCTGACACCAAAATAAATGCAAGCTACTTTCACCACAGTTTGCAATCATTGCATGTTCTCACTCCACCACTGTAGTGGATCAGCGTGTCTATTTATTTCTGGTTTTGCCAGATACTGGCTTAGCTGAGTGTTAATGTCTATTGGTAATTGTTGGTCATGTGCTGTGCCACCAGTGGACCTAGAGTGAACAATTTCATCAATACATTGTCAGAGTAATGATGATGATGTAGAAGAATTATCCAGCTGGGCTTTTTTTGCTGGAATTTCTTCAATTTTATCAATCTGCTGCTCAGCATGCTCAGATTGTCTTTTATCTTGAATCAATACCCTCTGCATTGTAACTTTATTGAATGTATATTTAACCACATTTGTGTCTTCACTTCAGACTCTATCATGTTTCTTCAGAACCACATTTGTGTCTTCACTTCTCTTTTGTGTCTTCTTTTCAGCATTTTTTCGTTGAGTTGTTGTTTACAATTAGAGCAAATTAAATTGTAAAGAAATGTAAATAGAGATAACATTACAAACATGGAATTCATAGAATATAGAATTATAAACAACATTGATTTGTATAAATGAAGTATTAAGTATACATATAAAAACAGGCAAAAAAAATGTAGTAAATATCTGACCAAAATTCAGAAATCCGGCTAAAATTTTACCAGATTTGCTAACTATTTGTCGTTGCCAGATTTGAGCTGGATTTATAAAATTGACCGGATTTTTGCCGGATCTGAAATCGGGTACAGCCCAAATATAAATATTTTTTTAGTCCTTACAGTCTTATCACAGAGCTCTGTAGATTAGCATTTAATTGGAATTCAGTTTAATTGGAGTTCATGCCTTCTTCCTAACCAATGTGGCAAAGCTTGCCTAGAGGTGGGCTTTTCCCACTGCGCCACGGCTAGAGTCTCTCTATATATACTCTTGCTTGGTCATTTTTAATTTTTACCATAAAATGTCAGTTTTAGGTTGTTTTTTTTAAATATTATATATTTAAGATATTAAAAAAAATAAACAAATTTATAATTATACATTTCATTTTTTTTGTTGATATTTTTAATATCCAAAAGTTTTTTTATATAAAATGTAGTAATATTGTCTTTGTTAATTGAGTTAATTTTTTGATTGAACTCATTTTCCAGTAATTTATAAAATAGTGGTAGTTTTCTTTATTTTTTATTTTTTAAAGACTTGATGTCTTTAAATAATATAAAAATAAATGGAATTTTATTTTGGCCTTTTTTATTTAAAACAAGGTCTGATTAACAGGCAATAAATGTTCCCTTCATATTAAATAAAAATACATTATTTTTATTTTTATTTAATATGATTTATTATTAGTTAAAAAAAATTACTCTATCAAGAAGACAAAAGAGTTTTTTAAAAACAATGTATTTACTTCTGCAATTAGATTAATGATTTTACTTTGAGGTAGAAATAATGGTGTATCGTGATGTTGCCATAACAATATATATATATATATATATATATATATATATATATATATATATATATATATATGATATATATATATATATATATATATATATATATATATATATATATATATATGCAGCTATATATATGTATATATAATTTCTATTTTTATGGTAACTCTTTTGTTTCAAATTTTTTATGCTGACCTTTAACAGTTTAAGGTCATTTTTCCTAATTCTGAGGGCTGTATATACACTTATATAATTGTTTTTTGTCTTAATTCAAAATTTTTACTTTCTTACTTATAGATTACTATATAAAAGTTATTCAATTATATAAATGATGGTTTCAAATATTGAATCTTTTTATGAATCAACATGTGCAGCAATTACAACAGATAAGCAAATATCAGCATCTGCAAAAAAAGTTTTGCTTGAGCATATTGTTTTTAAAGAAGCATGCAAGCCAGATATTACTGATCAGCTTTCAAGTAAATATAAACCTGTCAATGCAGGGTACATGCCAAGAAAAATAAAAAGTGATTCCATAGTAAACAATGCTATACCAAAACCATCCGTTGTTTTATATCCAGAAGAGAATGTTGAAAATAAATGGAAAGCTATTCAGAAAGTTGGTCCAGGTTTAGCCAATCTTGGCAATACATGTTTTCTTAATTCAGTTTTGCAAGTTTTAACTTATACACCACCATTGTTTAACTATATAATGAGTGAATATCATAAGCAAAAATGTAAGCATTAGTTAATGTATTGATAATATTTTCAATAAACTTATTTTCTTATTACTTTTGTAACTAGTGTTAATTAATAAAAAAACTCATCCATTTTTTATATTATTATCTTTTTTTTAGTCTTAAATTCTTAGATAGATAAATTCTTAATTCTTTAGAGTCTTAAATTTTAGATTTTATTTAGTATTAAATGTGACAAAATGGATTTTTGATTGAAAAATGAATAACAAGCATTTTTTTTAGATCATTTATAAATCTTCTCAAGTTAGAAAAAAAATAATATTTATATTAATGCTGAACTTAATATTAGAAGTGCCCTTTTAAGCATGTTTGGCAAGGAACTCTTTGCAGCCATTTCAATATAAATAATAAAAACAATATAAAATAAATTGTAAAACTTGATGTTAAAATGTTAAAACATATATATCAAGTTTTACAGTTTAACTTTTACTTAAAAATTGCATTGCGGCATTATCTTCTTAATTTTGATTTGCTGATTTGCATTTATTTGCTGTTTTATTAAGACTTTTGTTTATTAAATAGAGTTAAAATGTTGGTTAGCTCACAGCGTTTCTGATAATTGTGGTTCAAATCCTTGCACTTAAACATTTTTTTTAAATCTTACTTGATTTTTTAAAATACAAAACAAAACATTTTTTGAAGTTCTATAGATTTTATATGCATAACATGTATAAAGATATAAAATAACAAATGAAAGCGAGAGAATTTTTAAAAAAGCTTAAAATTTCTAAAAACATTGTTAGAAATTTGTTGTACATATGTCGTATTAGAGATACTTATGTTAATAAATGTGTTCAGTTAATTATTTGCAATAGACTGCAGGTGGTCTGAAAAAAAGTTATGGTCTGAAAATTAATAAAGAAAATAATTAGTGCTGCAGTTGCGGCAAAAAAAAAAAAAAACCTCGTAGCTAGCAAAAACTTGAAATTTTTATCTTTTTTGATATTTTTTTTTGCATATAAATATATGCAACCTGATTATATGCAACCTAATCATATTTTGCTATAAATATATGCTACCTGATTATATTCAACCTATAAATATATGCAACCTGATTAAAAAAATTGAAAATGTGCTGTATTAAAGGGAGGGTTTAAACCTTCGGTGTGAAATAGACTAAATATGACCTGTGTTTTTACAGATCTGGTCAGCTAGTTTTTTATCATTATTTGTACTAATATTTTGATATTTTTATTAGATTGGCATAATCCTGAAATTAAATAAACAGAGTCAAAAAAGTTTTTTTAAAAAAAAAAAAAATTCTTCTGAATATAGTTTACATTTTGCTTTCAGTTTATTTATTTCAAATTAGTTAAAACAGGAGATATAACTTGGAAAGAATGGAAAGCAAAATGTAAATTATATTATGAAAAAGTAAGCCCATCCTATAGAGTTAGTTTAACAATGGATTATTTACAGTTAAATTAAGAAAGGCTTTTATTTATATGGCAGAATAGTATTTTTCAAACTTGTTTTTTTAGAAAAAAATAAATTTAAATTTGATAATAAAATATTTATTTTGTTATAAATTTAATATGATAAAAAAATTGCAAATGTCATTTTGATTAGTATTATCTTTAATATTTAATATTTTATTATATTTTTATTATTGTTTACTTATACTTAACTGTTTATTTTAATTATTTTATCATTGCTATGTATATAATCTCATCCTTGTTTTTCTAGCATTAATTTTAATATAAGTTAATTAATGAAAGTAGTAAAGAGTATTTTGAAGTTATATAAGTTTAAATTTCTATGTTTGGAAATCAATTTCATGAATTAGAAAATTTAATGTTTGAAAAAGTAAAATTGTGTAGTCCTGAAACTAATGAAGAAGTGTAACATCTTTTGTGATGAGGATACTCATCATACTCAAAGATGTTTGAGCTCAGAAATCGCAGTTGCTCTGCTCTGAATTTTTTAAAATGTCTTTTTGAGCTTTTCCAAGCATTATGTTTGCTTTTGATTCTGCTAATTCAATTTGTTGTTTGACTTTAAGGTTGACGACACAAATATGTTGAGGTCATGTTTTTTGGTAATGACTTGTTTTGATGATTTGATCACGATTGTTAACATAGTTTGACAAGTTGAACTTGTGTTGAAAATGTGCTGAAAAAGTGTATCTAGACTTTACTAAAAAAAAAAATCTTTTTTTTTTTAGTTAAGTCTAAACACACTTTTTCAGTTAATTTTGTTAAGTCTTTTTTTTAGTTAAGTCTTTCCTTATATAAAAAAAAAATATATTTTTTTATATAAGAAAAGAAATCTTAGCAAAAGAGAAAATAAAAAGTTGAAAGAAAAAAAGAAATAAAAAGAATACATAAAAAATGAAAATATAATTTAACTAAAATGAAAGTTAGCTAAAATGCTGAGATAATTTGAATCAAGTTTTTAATCTTGTTTATAATAAAAAAATAGAATCTTTTATCTTTAATGTTTTTTTATTAATATAGAAAACCCTTTAAAATAAAGTAAAAAGCTCTAACAATTGTTTAATAATTCCAAATTTAATTTAAATTATGTTTTTTTAACTGATTTAAAAAGAGTAAGTTTTCAAATAAATACACATTAGTAAATAATTATACATTATGTCCTCAGCGATGTGCCTCAAGGTTCATGTATTGGACCATTGCTGTTCCTCATTTTTAACAATGATATTGCTCATCTGCTCAATCACCATTTAAGCAAACTTTACGCTGACGACATTAAACTTATTGCAATTATTATAGAGCCCTATGACCTGCAGCAATTCCAAATCCACATCAATAGAGTAGTTAATGCATGGTCAATAAGCTTTAATCTAGAAAAATGCACGTGCATGATTTTCAACAAGCATTGCAGCACACTAAACAAAAAAAACTTTAATTGGTTATAAATTTAACGGCCCCTGCTTCACCTAACAATGACTAACAAAACTGGTTTTGCTCATATTCTTAAAAAGACCGACTCTAAACGTGACCTTGGTATTGTTGTTCGCAATCGGTTTTTGTAGAACGATCAAGTAGCAAAAGCTATATCAAACTCATATGCTGTATCGGAATTTCTTAACACATTAAAACCTTTACTGCTCTTCGGTAACTATGTGGTAGCCAATTGTAGTGCACTACCATCTGATCTCAATACTTTCAATATAAAGTGAGTTACCTTCAATTCAAAAGTGAGCCAAATAATCTTTGATTTTTTGGCTTCCAAAAAAAACTGTATGATTAGTACTCTTTTCTTGTATGAGAATGTTATTAACTCTATGTACCTCTATACTGGATCTACCATAGTAAGGATTGGTTGCTTTCCCAGCTTCAAAAATATTTCCGTTGTAAATTAAATTTTAATATTAAAAAAAGAATTCAACTTTTTTAAAAACCAGTTCATGCTTTGTATAAACATACATTTTTTTAAGCATACATTTATTCATAGAAAGTAAAACTAGGGGTGGGGGTCCAAAATTCTATATTTTTTGTAATGCAATCTGCTTCGGAAATACTTTCAATAATCGATGCTTAATTTTATGGGTCCAAAAGATATTATATCAAGGCAGCCTATTTACTTTCGTGTCAGGTTTCTATAAATATATTGAAAAAGAGAATGATCTGTTAAATGTCAAAAACGATTTATGAATGGGATGTTTATTTTAGTAGTATAATAGGTCATAGCAGGGAAAGATCCATATTTAAAATCATAATTGTTGATAAAAATACAAAAAAAGCGTTGTCTTACATCTACAGAATAATAAGCTAATAATTTAAAGTTTCTACTTAACTTGGAAAGTCCTCAAAACAATTCACAATCGCCTACAACTTTTTTTTTTAGTTGTTAAGGTGCTCCCCGAAGAACTAAAGGTCTTATCACAAAGCACTGTGGAAGAGCATTCTAACTAGGAAGTTTACACCTTCCTTACTAATGTTGCTTATCTGGTCAGAGCCAACATTGATCCTTAGGCCTCTTGATTCTGAGAAAGAGCTCAAATCACTGCACCACGACTGCAATAACATTATTTTGCATTTTTACAAAGTGATCTTATATTATATATAGTTTCATGCATAATGCCTATATTTTTGTTGTATTTATAACTAAACATAATAATTACGTATTTTATTGATAAAACAAAAAGAAAAGTATTTACTACGGATTTTACTTTGATAATAATGATGATTTCATTTAATTTAAAAATGGATTGTTTTGTCAAAATAATAACTTTTATTGAAATTAAATTAGTAGACCAAATGTACAATGAAAAAAAATTATTAAGTAATTGGAAATCAGCATAAAATATTTATTAAGAAAAAGTGGTTAAACTACACAAAAACCAAAAAAAGTTAATTTTGGACCTTTAAATAAAGTAAATAAAAAAAGATTATTAAAAACTTATTGTAGTTATACCAAAGAAAAAATAAATCATTTTGATTTCGATCGAAAGATAAAATTACTTTTTTCTTTCATTAAAAAGTAATAAAAAAAAATTGTATTAGCAGTGATTTTTTATTTTATTTAAAAGGTCATCCACATATTATTTCATATGATAGGATGTGGTGTGTGGGGTGTGGGGGGTGGGTGTGTGTGGTGGTGTGGGGGTGGTTAACAATTTTGTGACGATATGTTACAGTAGGAATGGGTATTCAGTTTTGTGATGTAATACTTCTTTTTTCAAGTTTCAAATCTAGAAAATCTTTTCTATTGATTAGAAGAGTACCTAACCTTAAACACAAATCCTCAATCTGATGTAGACCATAGTCATAAAATAGTCTGGCCAGTTTAAGAGCGCTTTTGTTAGCATTTTTTAAAACCCAGCCTACTAATAAGTGCGCAGTTTTTGTAAATAAATGCATATTAAGAAGAATATATACAAGAAGATTGTTGATTTATTCTTGATTTTTGCAAATACCTTGTCTTAAACGTTACATATTTTGCTCTAGAATTTCTTGAAGAAATAAAAATATGTTTTTTTTTAGATACCTTCTTCCGATGATGTTTTTAACAAA